TCAGTGCAGAAGAAACTTGTTATTCAGTGCCAGCAGGAGTGAAATTTGCTGATATGAGCCAAGAGGTACAAGAAACGAGTTTGTGTGCGGCCCATTTTTTTCAGAACCGTGAGGGAGCCTGGGGTGACTGAAGCCTTCCTTTGTACTTCCCCCAGCTGTTACACATAATTTTAATGTTTTTACGGTTAAATATTATCTGTAATCTTGAAGTCTTTTGATCAGGATATGTGCTTCAAGGTGCACATTAAACAAATATGTAGGACAGCTTTCTTACATTTCTGTAATATCTCTGAAATTAGAAACATCCTGCTTCATAGTGACACTGAAAAGCTTGTTTATGCATTTACTACTTAATACTTCAAGTACTTCTCTTGTAATTTATTATTATCAGGCTGTCTTAAAAACTTTGTCTGATGACCCATTCACAAAAAAATAAATCACAAAATCATTTCCAACTTCACTGCTCCATTATATTTACATCATATCCTGTCTGTCTGTTGGACACTTCCTGTAAATTAAGACGACTGCACTTAAACTTTTAACTGATGATCATACAATGTAAACAGTTTGTGTCGAGGCCCTGGCAGTAATGGAAAAGGCAAATATCGAGTGCCATTACAGCTCCAAACATATACAAAGGGTCTTTGAATAGAGGTCTGCGTGTACCACAGAGCCATGGCTCACTGTCTGAGTGTCTAAATGAGTCTCACAAGCCTGAATGCTCACTTGAAGTTATTAAAACAAGCATGAATTTTGGACTTTAAACTGTGTTTTAAAGTTTTACAGCTTTTCCTAGTAATAAAAACCTCCTTTATTGCCTTTCATATTGCACAAAGTCATCAAGCAAACAACAATTAAATGACAAAAAAGTTTGTTTTTCACTTTTTTCCACAGAAACGTCAGTTTTTTACGACTACAGTTTAAAAAACAAAAGGAAAAAACTGTGCAGTTTGAGCAATGAGCTGTCAGGGCTTTTTTCTGTAATCTGTAAGAAATTCACATTTGAGATTTGTTGGTCTGGAAAAGGTTATAAAGCCACGTCTAAAGCTATGGGACTCTACCAAACCACAGGGAGAGCCATTGTCCACAAATGGAAAACATGGAACAGTGGCAAGGCAAGGCAAATTTATTTGTATAGCACAATTCAACAACAAGGTGATTCAAAGTGCTTTACAGAGACATTAGAAACAAAAACAAATAAAAAGCAGGATTTAAAATTTTTAAAAACAAGCAAACAAACAAACTAACTAAACACACACATTTCACACCTGTTCGCGCGATCTGAACCCTTATCGTAAGGGGAGCTACCAGTCCTTCTGTGGACGAGCTACTTTCTATTTTAAATTCCCTGAATTTAAAATACTCTCTAGACCCAGTCTAGACCCAGTTGGGGAGCTACCCAGAGCTCTAATCCCACACCTGTTCGCGCGATCTGAACCCTTATCGTAAGGGGAGCTGCCAGTCCTTCAGTGGTCAAAAAGGCCGGCCGTCCAGCCACGACTCATTCAGCCCAGAACAACATCCAAAGAGCTGCACGACTCACTCGCCTCAGTTAAGGTTCATCACAAGGGGGAAGTAACAAAGTACAAATACTTTATATTCTACTGTACTAACGTAGAATTATCAGGCATCTGTACTTTACTGGAGTAGTTTTTTTCCTGACATTTTTAAACACCAACACAGCCGGAGATCGACAGACGGATTGGGGCTGCAGCTGCAGTAATGCTGCACCGGTCCGTCGTGGTGAAGAGGGAGCTGAGTGTAAAAGCGAAGCTCTCAATTTACCGGTCGATCTACGTCCCTACCCTCACCTATGGCCACGAGCTGTGGGTAGTGACCGAAAGAACGAGATCGTGAATACAAGCCGCGGAAATGAGCTTCCTCCGAAGGGTGGCTGGCCTCTCCCTTAGAGATAGGGTGAGAAGTTCGGCCATCCGGGAGGGGCTCAGAGTAGAGCAGCTGCTGCTCCACATCGAAAGGAGCCAGCTGAGGTGGTTCGGGCATCTGACAAGGATGCCCCCTGGGCGCCTCCTGGGTGAGGTGTTCCAGGCATGTCCCACCGGAAGGAGCAGACCCAGGACACGCTGGAGAGATTATATCTCTCGGCTGGCCTGGGAACGCCTTGGTGTTCCCCCGGATAAGCTGGAGGAGGTGGCTGGGGAGCGGGAGGTCTGGGCCTCTTTGCTTAGGCTGCTGCCCCCCCGGACAAAGCGGATGAAAATGGATGGATGGATGGATTTTTAAACACATATCTGTACTTTGGACTGCTTAAATTTTCTTGTTACTTTTGGTTTAACACATTTGCAGGGAGTTATTGTTTCTGTCACTGTGAGCCTTCAGTCCTCTTTCAAATAATCACCAGGGGACATAGTGTAAAAAGAGATCATGTGTGCCATAATAACAGGTCCAAGTGGGCCCGCTGTGTGGTTTTGTTTTTTTGGCACAGCTCTGGAACGACTGCAGGTGTCCATAAGTTGTGGTTGCCATACGTCAGCATCTAACAAGCCCTAAGCATAAAGGGAGTGGCAGGTCATTTCAAATGCAACGTTTCTATCAGCTCAACAAACATCAGCAAACACACAAACTGTTTTTGTGCAGTTTGTCTCACAGTGTGTTGATAGCTAAAAGTCCAGCTGCTGTATTTCACAGGGACAGAAGCAAGTTTGAGATAACTTCACTCAGAGGTGGACAAAGAATACAGGACAGGAAGAGGAGAGCTTATATTTAAAGATAAGGACTGCTCAGTGGGATTTGATGTAAATTTAAAGCTTACATTGATTTCCTCATGTTCTCATATTGTGAAACATGCTGCAAAGCTAACTTAGACTAACTGTGTTATTTAAAGACCACATGAAAATCCTCTGCAGGTTAGTGCAGGATTATCAGGTTGGTTTACAGTAAAGAACTGTGTGTGACTGATGCACAATGGCTGTGGTGCTCGTGGTCTGTTATATCAAGTGTAACAGAGATGAATATGAATTTTAGCTGATGATGCTTAAATGTAGAAAAAGAGACGGTGTAAACAATGACCTGTCAGTGTAGAGGGTGGAAATCAGCCAGGTCAACTCGTGAAATACCTGCTTACATCTTGTTGATTTCAGTTGTGTTAATCTACAAAGAGCCACTACAGCTGATTTTAGGGTTCCCCCACTCTAAGATGGAAACCCCTGCTGAGCAAAACGAACAAAGGCTGCTCTCAGTTTTGCCAGAAAACATTTCAATGATCCCCGAGACTTTTGGGAAAATACTCTGTGGCCTGTTGAACTGTCTCTGCTGCTCGTCTGCAGAGTGACGAGTATCTCAGCCTTCCACACAGTGAGCCTTTTGTTCTCTTCATTCAGATTGTATCTTTGACTCTAAGACCTGTTGTTTGATCTTTTCCCTCCACCTCTCCTGGTTTATTTCTCACCGATCTCACTTGCTGCAGTGACTACAATAAAAACATCCCGTTTGTGGAACAGCACGTGTGTCTGATCACTCTGCACTGCACGCTCAATACAAATCTCACTGCCAGTAAGGACCTCAGTCGCAAAGAGAAAACCTCAACACATAATATACACAATACATAAATCCCAGCTGTCATAATGTGCACCAAAAAGGGATTAATACTGTTTTTTCTCAGTCCTTACAGCGCTTTCTGTCACCTAGAGCCAGTTAATGTGTCCAGACCAGCCCTACTGTGAGTGTGTGAACAAATGCCATCGTTTGTAAGCCCCACAGATACAATCATAGTCTACCTGTACAATGCAATGTAATCCAAATAGTGAAGCACATATACAGAAGGGTCAGTGAGCTGGGATTTTAAACCGTAACATGTAGCTTTTTTAATCTTTTGCCAGAATCACACTCTTACTTTTCTGAGTTCATGTATTTGAAGTGAAATTAAAGCTAATTATAGTTTAATGGCAAGAAAGTGAAAGTGGAAAGTGCTAAAAATAGAGAATTATCCTTTTAAGTGAATCTAAATATTTTCATTCCTCCTTCTAAAAGAAGCTTCATCTCCTCTCTGTTTATACCAACTCTACTGTCTGATTGGCTTTTGGGGACTCAGATTTGACGTTTGCCAAACAGAAAAATCAATATTGTTTTCACTGAATGTTTTCTAACAGTAAATATTTTTCAAACATTTGTTGTTTCTGTCTTTCCATGTGTTGTCCCTTAATCTGAATTGGAACCAAATGAAGCAGAGTGTAAGCACCTCCTAAGCAGCAGCAGCTACAGTGAGTCAGTACAGGTGATTTGAGACTATGAGAAATCTGAGAGACTCAACACTGATCAATTTAGGCTCCAGAATCTAGATTCAGGAATGTGCAGTTGTGAAGACACCAGTAAAGAGAGCATGGAGACCGATAGCATCAATAAGACCGATAGCCATGATGAGAAGTGTTACGAGTTCAAAATTGGGGATGGAAACAAGAGAAAAAACCACAATAACAACACTGGTCCGGCCGGGTTGAGTCAAACGATGATTTTAATGATCACACGCGTGGGAGATGGACACTGTATGCAGACAGCCTCAGATCTCAAAATGGTGGAGCATTGCTCAAACTCTTATAGCCTCTGGTGCCTCCACCTTATCATAAAAACTAAACATTCACATGTTTTCTCTCACACGGCGCCTAAGCTACGACCTTGGCTCCCAGTTTATCTGCTCCTGCTGAGATGGGGCAGAAAACTCCAGCATGCTCTGTTCTCTTCTAATCAAACAAACAAGGCGATGACTTTTCTGCAAACAGTATTTCTTATAACTCAGCAGTATAATGCATCATAAAACAATATCATTCATTCACAATAAATCAGCAGTCTAATGTAATGCAAATCAGTTTAACTAATGCAATAGTTGTCAGCTTCTTCTAATTCAGGAGAATAATGCAAACTAAAACTACATAATAATTCACACTCCTTAATTCGGGGTATAACATGGCATAAAATAATATTATAATCTAACAGAAGCCTGACGGCAAGGGCGAGAATGTGGGAGGGAATAAACAAAAGGCAGATTTTCAGAGGCTGTTTGGAAGCAGCAGAGGTGTTTATTCAGGTTTGCTCTGATTATGAAGCAGCAGGCTGACAGCCTGGAGCCTCCCAGCTTGGATTCAGAAGTGTGGAAGAGGAGCAGCTAAGTCAGGATAGGGTCATGGAGGATGCCAAGTCCACTGAATCCACACGCTTCCTGTTTCCACCTCATCCTTCCAGTGCTTTACTATACTCCCTGCTCTCTCTACCACAACTGCCTTTGAACTTGCCTGAGCCAGGTCTGAGTCCAGCTTTGCTACTCCAGCCAGGTCACATGACACAGGGGTGTGGTCTGATGTCAGCAGGCAGGTCAGTGGATCCCTCTGGTGATGGATATATGCCAGTGAAGCAGGAGGAGGCCTGAGAACAGACAGCAGGCTTAACTAGCAGAACAAAGTAGCATGTAGTACTTGAAGGAGTCATCACAACCAATCAGTTCTCAGGAAAATCAAACACCACATAAATATTTCTCTTCTTTGATTTTCATCAATGTATTTCCTTTTATATATTTTCTGTCAATATTTCTGCCTGATTAGAAGCTCATAGGCAGTTCCTGTCACTCTACAATAAAATAATGACGAGGCTGCCCTCTCTGCCCTCCCACTAGCTGACCTAACTGACACAAGTAAACTGTGCTAAGATGCCCTACATGGACTAAGGTTCTTGGCCACATACATATAGATTTGCTTGGCTGTAGAAATCCATGCCATGAAGCTCCCAGCGCACATTTTTGATGCTTCTGTTTGTGGCAGAGCAGGTTTGGAGCTCTGCAGAGCCTTGGTAACTTTTACTGACTATGCACCCCTACCCATTTATTATAAACTACCAGCACAACTGTTTTTTCTTTTTTCTATATTACACATGTATGATTTAGATTTAGATTTATGTGGCAGCTATTTACTGACCTGACAAAGTTATCTGAAATGATGTCATGTCATGAATAACTCAAGTTATTTTCCATGAAAATTAAAAGTGGGGAGATTCTCAAAAAATGAATGAGACGTGCATGTAATTTGATATATTTTGTTGTTTTGTGTGTGTGTTTGTCTGTGTGAAGTTTTGATGTGTATCTGAAAAACGCATTTTGAAAACACTGGAAAGACCTCAAGACATATTTTCTTTATTTTCTATGCAAAAACACCTTCCAGCAAGCCTTTTCAGTGTGAAATTTAGTGCGTATAGAAAATACCTGTGCCAGGTTGTCTCCATCTAGTGGTGAACATGGCCTTACCACTACATCAGGTGAGTTTTTCTCTGTGCACAGTGACACAAAACTCATCTAACAACACAAAGTATTAAAAAAATAAAGCATTTTAAAATGATGTAGGACGATCAAGGCAACGGTACAGATTCAGTAAGAGCTGGAGTTTATTGTAAACCTTAAAATATGCAGGGCTTCACACTGACACAATTGCTTATGTCCAGCATAGCTCTGTTAATATAAATTGTATTCAAAACGTGTCCAGTTTAATGTCTTAAACTAAAATGGCATTAAGGTTTCAATGAGCTAAAGTGGTCCCCCTGAGTCAGCACCCAGAAACCTATCATCTTTTAAAACTGTGGGCATAACAACGAACGTTGCTGGGATCTTAAAACGCTGGGGCTAAACCCAGACCTGAACTCTTTTGTATTTTCACTCAGTAAGAGCATATGTGCTGGTTATTACACAATATCAAACGACAGCATTAACACGGGGTTACAATTACTTTCTCACATCGTGGCATCGAGAGTTTATCCATTGAGCATTAGAGTTCAACAATGTTACATCCAGTTCAAAGTTTCAGTTTCACTAACGCCAGCGAAACAAGGCTAACAGTATATAAGAGCACAAAGACAGCTTATCGACAGCTCGACGTATCGTCAACAACTCACGTCAGTATGGCTGCCATCGGTCATCTTTTAACTAACCGGAAAATGAACTCTTACGCGGTATACTATACACATATACAGTATATTTCTTTTACTTGTTTTTAAAGTTGGAGTATTTATATATTACCCTGAAATCTTTTGCTGTTGAGCAGGAGAGCTCCAAAGCGTCCCCCTGTAACCATGGTTACGCAGAGGCGTTAGCGTTCCAGTGGTGACGTCACAGAGTATACAGAGGACAGAAGTGTGACAAACTGATACTTGGAGGGATCTGCATCTTTTGCTGGCACTTTTCTGCTGCGATCCGGAGCTCGAGTCCCTGGTGCCCAGGGGTAAGATGAGTTGCTGTGTTCCTCACGGAGAAAAACTACTTAACATGGAATAACTTCAGTCTCGGATGGAAAAAAAAGATGCAAGCAAAAGAGGACAGCGGATTTCTTCAAACGGTAAGGAGCTTCTACCAAGTGATTTCTGATAAGCTTAAACCTTCGAGCGTAAATCTAATGTCCAGATTCATGCTAAACCTTTCTGATTACTCAGTGAATCTGCTCATGTGTCGCCGTTTAAAGCTATCAGGTAATTTCATGGTGAGAAATGTCTTTGACAAAAAAATTGCAGGATTAATTAAAGGCTATATATGTCTGCTAGGTTAGGACGTGGTTAGGAGCAAATACTTAAGACAGAGAGAGAGAGATTTTGCTCTTACAGAAATCTTTATTAATATTTATTAATATTCCATAAGCTTGTTTGTGGGCAAAGTCAATAAATGGTCTCCTGGCTGTAGGTTTTCCCACTGAGCCAAATTTGCAAAAATACCAGATTTTACAATCAAGGAACAAACTAGTGTAAAGAACAAATTGCCTGTTAAACAGGAATTTGGGTTTGGAGCTTGGGGGCAACTTCCTCTAAAGCCATTGAAATGATTTGAGAGATTTTACAGTTTTGCAATTATGAAAAACAAAAACAAACAGATTTAAGGTGAAACAGATGTTTTCAAATCATGGAATGGTGGTGACATTATCGCTCATTCCATATTGTTCCCAAAGCGTGCAGTCTTTTTCTACTTCAAAAGTTAAAGCAGAGTTTGTTTGTTTTTAACTTCTTTAATAATATAACTCTGCATATGTGTACATGCATGTGCACTGATGTGAAGTTACAATGTCTTGATAAAGTATTCATAGCTCTTGAACTTTTACACATTTTGTCACCTTACAACCACTAACAAAAGACGTTTTTTATTGACATTTTCTATGCTAGATTAGCCTGGGGGAGGTCCACCCAAATAAAGGGTGGCCAGGCGGCCCGGTCCGGGTATTTTCTACTTTCATTTGAGCGTCTGGGATGCGGTGCCACCTCATCATGTCGTTTCTGTTCTCATTGTCATCCCCCATTATTGATCAGGATGAGCAGCATTTCACAAATAAAACCTTCAATCAATCAGGAGGGCTGGCCAGGCTTTCAGAGCCTGGGAGAGGTCCACCCAAATAAAGGGTGGACAGGTGGCCCTGTGTATGTTTTTTCTGTTTTCGTTCATACGCCTGGGGGGCGGTGCCAACCCATCATGAGGGCTGGCCAGGCTTTCGGAGCCTGGGGGAGGTCCACCAAAATAAGGGGTGGCCAGGCGGCCCGGTCCGGGTATTTTCTACGTTCATTTGCGCGTCTGGGATGCGGTGCCACCTCATCATGTCGTTTCTGTTCTCATTGTCATCCCCCATTATTGATCAGGATGAGCAGCATTTCATTTTCCTCCTCGACTGCCTTTTTGTGTTATACATTTCA